AATTTTATTTTGGTGTAATCTCATTGTCAAACACAGATTCATCTATCATCCCTATGTTGCCAGCTGACAGGTCCACTTATTTATTCCAAACCAGTCTCCTCCTATTCAGACTGGAATCTCACCTTGTCTTCTTGAAACATCTTCACAGATATTGAACCATCAACTGTTGTTCAAAACGGGGCTAAAGAGAATTCCTTCAATCTTTCCTCTTCTGCAGGCTGTCCACACTCTTTTCTGAACCACTGTGTACATACTGCATGTAGTTAAGTTTCATAACCACGTATGATCAGTGCTTCTGTTTTGAAAATATATTTTGCTTGAACAAGGTCCAAACCACTTTACATTAAAAAAAAAAAAAAAAGAGGAAAAAAACCCAAAGGGTAGTTAAAATATCAAGCAAGCAGAAAGTGATACATTGAGAAGCCTGAATATTGAAGTATTCGAGCTACAGAAAAGGTAAAGCACAAGTAAAGAAAAAGCAACCTTCTTCTACATTGACCCCCTGGTGTGCTTTAACTGTGACCTCAAGGAGCCATATCTAGATAGGAGAGGGAGTTCAGTTTCCAAGGCCCATTCAATCGTAAGCTCCTCTGCGAAGTCTCCCAACATGGGGTCCAATTAGTGACACTTGTATTGGTGAATTTTTTTTAGAGACCTGCTGAAAGCAAGTGGAATAAGATTCTCAGATTAACTTTACACAGGCCACCATACAGATCCGGAGCCCTATATCATTCAAGGTAGATTTTGACTGAAGTCGGTAGGAGTTTTTGACTAATGAAGGATCAGGTCCATCCTTTTGTTAATTTTTTTATCATTACCTGGTTCCTATCCTGCTAGCCACTTTTCAGTCTGTATTTTTATTACCCTTTCTATAAATTCAGAATAGTAATATTTACTACTTCTGTTAAGTGCTTATAGTTATATCAGTGAAAAACAGGTAATATGTAATTTCTAGAATTACCCACCTGCCACTGAACTAGCAAAGCCCATATAAATCATTCCAATGAGTGCCTTGAGAAATGTTGAGTCCCAAGTTTGGCATTATAAATATTGGAAGGATGCAGAACAGAAACTAAGTATAAGGTCCATCAGCTAGATTTTTTTAATAAGAATTTTAAAAAATGTTAAATATTATCAGAAATCAAATCACATTAGCATAAGAAAAACAGAGGGAGGAAAATTTGCTTAGTAGTCCTCCAACCCTGAATTCAGGCTGTGAAACCTTGTTGTCCCATGATCTTTTTTTTTTTGCTATGACCCAAATATGAACTATACACAGAGAAGGAGAAAGAAAGAAGAAAACTGAGCTGAAATTAGCCTCCTGCTCAGAGGGCACTGGGTTATCTTGCCTGTTTCTTATCCATAGATAATAAAAAGTAAACTAAAAACTATGTGTAATTCTGAGATATGCTTGAGCTAGAGCGTATTAACTGTTAAACTATCACTGAATCATTTGGACTGACTGCTGTTTAAAATACAATAGAAAGCATTAGCATTGTAAAATGTTGATTGGTTGTTATGATTCCAAGAGCAAGGCAGACATCCTTTGTGCTGATCAACATTTTAAGATTAATTATGTTGCTTAGTAAATGGTTGAGACAAAGGACAGTAAGATTTATAAATAAATAAAATTATTGATGTAACACAGGGGGAAACATAAAAATACAAAACATCTTCAGTTTAGAAACTTCAGTTCAGAAGCTGTTCAAGAAAATAATGAGGTATTTCAGTCTAACTAAACCTAACCTAGGACCACAGAATTGGGTCCACTTCTTGTATTTTATATCTGCGTTTAGCTGCTGTCTCAGATCAGACAAAAAGTAGCGCTCAAAACTGTTTTAAGAAAAATTGCTCCTTGCCATGTAAATTCATGCTCACCAGTGATGACTCACAAATACTCCACTGGGGAAACTGAAATTTAAAAGCTGAAGTAGAAAGTGTTGATTGCTCTAGCTCTGCTCACCAGGCTGCTCAGATACAGGACTCCTTGCCAACATAACAACATACTTGGAAATAACTGGGGTTCCCATTTTGTCCCTTGTAATAAGCCAGTAAGGTCGGAAGTGGTAAATGGTGGAAAGACAATGAGTGTGTGAACAGCTTCTGTTACTAATCCAAGCATTGTCCCTACTCTGTGGGTACAGCAGAGGACTATAATCAGCAAAACATATTATTGAACATATATTATTTAGCACAATACCAACTTCATTGATCCGCTATGAAACTAATACTTGTAACTTTTCAAACCAAGTGCTTCATATCTCTGAATTTCTGGGGTTTATTTCCCTTCCCCCCCTTTTTCTAATCTCTGACCTGCTGGTTGCTGAATAAAACAAACAGTCTTTCACTGTTCCTGGCACCGTGTTTACAGGAGTGACTGTATACCTGTGGCATTTGTGTCTTTGCTTCCTCAAACTGCAGTATATAGACGCATTTCGTCCTGAAAATGGTATACAATTTCCTCTTTCTCCCTGGCTTTCCCCTAATAGCAGGGAGGCACCAGAGGGTTGCACAGGGATGTGTGTTCCAGGCTGCCTGCAGGACCCTAGCGGACTAGGCTGTATTTAATGAGCGCGTCTTCACTGACAGATTCATTATTTGTGTTCGGTCGCTTCAAGTCAAAACTGATTAGTTACACTTACTGCAGCAAAGATTTAATGATTTTATTGTTTATCTTCAATTTATTTTGATTAACATCTCCGTTCTTTTCATTGCAAGTGCAATTAGGTGTAATATAACAGCGACTACTTTAATTTTGCTGAAATTAAGATGAATAAGTGACGGATTATGGCACTTTGTTTAACAAATAAATCATAGTTAAGAGGACTGTATTAGTAATAAATGAAAAAACAGACAATCTAATTAAAATGCATGGAGCTGATAGTTCAAGTTTCCAGAAATGTAATGAATTTCCATTTTAGAAATCAACTAGATTTAGGTGTAGTACTTACTTATTGACAATAAGGTGACAAAGGCACATTATTTTGTAAATCATCTTAATTTCTTGTATTATGTTGGTAGAAGAAAGTGCAAGCTTTGAAATGAAGGTGCACGTTTAAATTTTTTTAAGAGCTAGGATTATTTTGTCAGGAAACACTGCAATTAAGGTATGGCTAAAAAAGAGGCTGAGGGACTGAAATGAGGAAAAAACTCATTAGCTCAATTCTCACATGTTCAGAGTTCAGCATTTTCGGCAACAGATGAATATTCTCCAAGTCCCAGCCACAATTTTCCTTTAAGTTCATAAGATTCAATTCACTGCCACAGAGCAAAAGCCTCAAGACACATAAGATGGAAGAAAGAGCTAACATGAAGAAAACTGAACTCAACAAACAGCGAGCAAATCAAGATTGCTCTATACAAGCATCCCCAAATCATGGGGCAAGTAGCAGGGCAGCAATCCTGGAGCCAGCTTACTGTGGGGGTCGTATGGGCTTAACTTCTGATTGAGGAAAACCAAGAGGAAAACGAACCCTTCAGAATCAGAAACTTTATCCCTCTGATGTTAAAAAGACCTTGTATTTGACAGGACAGCTTTGAAGATAAAGACGGAAGCACTCTCCAGCTACAGGCTGTTCAACACCCCACACTGCTATCTGCAATGCACTTCACTTCAGTTTCGCAGAGTTCAGTCATATTAGAAAGAAGATAGGGGAGACATTTTTTAGTATATTGTGCTATGTTTTTGATGATGCTGTATCTTGCACAAGCCTGGAAGAGCTCGGCTCCGTTCTACACATCTCCATCATCATTCCTTCCCACCACACTGCCAGAGCGGCCAGTTGCTCTGGGATGGCCAACATGTAAATTTGTTAGTAAAAATGTCCACTGAGTCCACATCCTTGACTCCACAGACGAGATACCTCTGAACTAAGAGGTTGGCACTAAAGGTGAGAGGGGACAAGGAGGGACTTTTCCCTTTTTCACAATGTGCAATATCTATGTTTTTGTCTGTAGGAGGATTTTATTCCAGGGATTAAGGTTAGAGAGGACTAAGAGAGAGCAATATGCTTTGTTAAGACCTTATTTTGACTTTTTTCCCCCTTTGTGTTAGGGACTGGGGGGAAGCAAGGAGAAAAGAGAGGAAGAAACAGAGACTACAATTCCTAAGATCACAAAACCTGCATGAGAGTACTTTGTTCTTTCTAAACTTTTAAGCGCCCTTCTTATATTCCCATTCCTCTCTTTAACTGTTTTAAAACATTTTTTGGATATTCATATGAAAGCCATTATTGAAAGAAGCATTTATTGTGATTTAGTAGCAAATTTTGGTTTTCTACCTTACTTAGGACTTTATCACTATATGCTCTTTCAGTGGCAGTGCAAATTTGTTCCAGCTAAAGATCCGCCTCATAGCTTTAAAGGGACTTAAAAATCATTATTTTAAGAAATGTCTGAAAAAAGTGATAATTGAAAAATAATTCCTGTCCTCTGGGTGTAGTGGAAAAAAAAATACTGAAGCCAGTTTTAATAGTGTAAAATAAATAAAGGGAAGGAGGAGGTGGAGTGAGGATCTCCTAAGGCCCCTTTTCTTTGTCCCTGATTATATTGATCAGATCCACTAATTGCATTAAAACAGGTAGCTCTTCCTAAGTGTATAAAAGCAAATAAATAAATAAGCATGGGTACTTTTAACAAGGTGGAATATGCACTTATTTACAAGTGTTTCTGTGTCTCACAATTCCTCCTCTAATATTAGTTTTCCATGTTTAATAAATAAATAGATGGTAGGTAAAGCCAGAGCAAGAGGGAGATAGAGAAGAAATGATGCTAATGACCAGATCAACCTGTAAAAAGCAGCCCTGCTCTGACTGGAGCCCCAGCCATCAGCTGAGTGTCATGCAGGAGAGCCAGAAGAGCTGGGGGAGGTTGTGGAGGGGTTGGCGAGCTGGAGACTGGCAGCATCATTGGTTTGAACAGGCCGTGATTGATTTGTCACCAGAGGCCCATTTGACTGGGCGAAAAGCCCTTCTGATCTCAATCTCTCTCTGCCTCCTTACCTCTGCTGTCCCTTTTTCCTTCTCCGCATTTTGACGCTGGCACAGCAGCTGGGCAAGGGGCTCAAGTTGAGGCTGACACAGAGCAAAAGGGTTGAAGGTCACTGCTGCTGAAACTCTGTAACGACTGACAGGGGAGATCCAGCTCATCATACTTCCCACTTTCTGTCTTGCCTTTAGAACTCCAGAGGTTTACAAAGCCCCAAATACACATCCACACAAATACACCAACACACCATTCCCCAAACAGAGACACACTACCAAAGCCTCTCTCTGCTTCTCTCTTTGCCTCTCGCTGTGTCTCTCTCTCGCACACACTCACGCACACACTCACGCACACACACGCACTCTCTCTCTCTCCCCACCCCTTCCACCTTCCTGTTATCTGTGGCTGGGAGAAACCTCTAGATCTACAAATATTAATTGCAAAGGACAACGAAAGGTAAGAAGGCGTCAATTATCCAAAGGTGTCGTGATGTTATTTCAAGTCAATTGCAAATGTGTGAGGGGGAAGATTTCGCCCCAGTGATTCCTGTCTGCTTGGCTGATGGGGACCGGAGCCGATTCCCTCCCAGAACTGCTGCAGCTATGCCTTAAACCACACACTTTCCAGCAGGAGCCATCAGCATGGGCCTTTCTGAATTCTCTCTTTATTTCATTCATTAAGGGCATTAGGCAAGTTGGAATTTGTATGAAAAGGATCCTATGGGAATACTGTCTCCAGGGTAGGTATTTTCATGACTTTCCACATCCTGGGGCTCTCTCTGTATCTCTTCTCTTTCTCTCTCTCTTCTGTTAGATGGGGCTTTAAAGGAGGCTGCCCTCATCTTCCAACTAATCTGGGGAAAGGAAATATTCTGAGCTGCATATATTGAGTGAAAAAATATTTTATTTATTTTACAAAGTGGCAGTTACTAAGAAATTGTGAGACCTTTCCTGCTTAATTTTATTAATGGGCTTTGTTATTATCATTATTATTCCTAGCCGTTTTCAGGTTTTTCTCACACAAGAGTTTTTAATGACAATTGCCTTCGTTATCCAAAAAGAAAGAGATAGCAGACAGGACAACAGCAAAATAATATTAATCAAACAAAGGCAGACTTTAAATTAAACGGGCTGTTGTGTTCCCATAAAAGCAGGACAATCTCAATACTCCAGCTCATTTCACTTGGCAAAAGAACATGGCATCAGTTTTTTAACTTTAAAATAGTTTAATGAACACGAATGGAGAAATAATTTTTCTGTGTATTTAGCAGTCTATAAAGAAGAGAGAATGCTTTAACTTTGATCGCCACAATTAGTTCCCTGGGTATCTAGAGGGGAACAGGGCAGCCCTGGGAGCCTCAGTTCTTTAGATACAAAAGCATTTAGATCGCTTTAGAGCAGTTAATCCTGAGACTGGCTAGGGTCCCTTTTGTTTTCTAACTCCATTGTGGGTTTTGTTCAGTTTTTTCTATTCGCATGATTGACTGCCCAATGGATGCTAATTATCCAAATGTCGCTTCTGTCCTTTGAGTGACTTTCTATGTATTATGGGCAACTGTCATGCATTCTGTCATTCTATATCATATTACATGTATTATCATATGAAAATGGTACTCTGCATAAAGGAAGGTGTCTGAGCCAGCAGATGCTGCAGATATTTAGAGGACTTGCCTAATTTGAATGGATTTTCTATAGAAAAATTGGTCAGAAAGCCAATATAGGGGAGAGTCAGAAATGGAAAGTTTATCAGGTAATTATTTTTGTCCTTTTGCTGTTTACATGATAATGTACAAAGCATTAACTGTCTCTGCTTCTGAAATCTGCAGCCACCTTCCTCCTCCCGAACCAGGCAACCCGTCTGTATTTATTAGAGTATGACAGCTTAAGCTAATTAAACTGATATCTGTCTAAAATAATAAGCCCAGAAAGTTAAAATAAACATTATGATTATAAGCAGAAAAGGCAGCTATACAAATGTAGCATCAATGTTAAATTTTAATGATAATCTGAAATTCCTGTATGGAAAATATTGGATGTGGAATTACAAACAATAATAAAGTTCTGCAAAGACATTTTTTACTGTAAATATTTTTTACTTAGATCTTTATCTCTTTACATGATATTAATAAGGCTGAGGGCTAACCCAGCTGTGAACTTGCATATTTTTTATTTTATACATATGTGAACATAGACTTAAAAGGATATCAAGGGAAAGGTTTTTACTACAATTTTTCCACTAAAATAAACTTAACACACCTCAGTGTAATGTGCATGCCAACACTTAACAGGAATGCAAGATTTATAACGATAGGGCTTTTCAGATTTGCACTCTGGGGTCCATTGAATCTATAGGCACATCCAGAGTTTCCTATCCTAAAATGTTAGGGTAGTGTTTGATATTTGCTGTTGATAGGAAATACTGTGCATATCTAACACTGAAATTCATGATCTTGAGCTTCATCAAATATATGTGCAATAAGTTTCCATTAATGGTAAAGCTAAATCATGCAAAGTATGTACTTTATGAAACAACAAAAAGATACCATAGCAAGACTTGCTCTGCTGTATCAAGGTGCTTTGAAATTTTACAATGATCAAATATACATGATCAAGCTGTGCTTGTTAGGGTATGAGGGGCTCAAAACGGTCAATGATTATTGATCAGACTGTTAAGTATTTGTTCACGATTCTTTATATCCCAAAAGATTCAGGGAAATGAATAGTGAAAAATTGCATCAGAGTCCACCTTTGTTTGAGATTGATGTATCAAAACAGAGGATTCATTTGCCAAATGTATTGGAAAAAAATGTGTAGTAAATTATGACATAAGGATTCCAAGTACAGAGGTTAATATTTCCCTTTTTTTAAATTATCTTTGTAAAATTGTAAGTGCTAATTAAAAAATGTAAAGACAGAATCTTTGCAGAACAGGGATAGTGAATTATTGATAAGAGCAGATTTACACAGCAAAAACAGAGATACAATCATAGCTTATCAGTTGACCTTTACATTTTACCTCACATTATGCTCATGCCAAAAATTTTTAAATGAAGTTGCAATAACAGTGATGGTAAGGAATCCAGGAGGTGAAAATGGAAATTTCTGTTACTCTTAAAAAATAGAAAATCTTACTGAGGTGCAGTTACTATCTTTTGGTAATTGAATAAATATTACTCCTCATGAGCAGTTGCCATTAAATGGTGGGGGTTTTATTCTAATACCATTTGGCAAAAGTCCCAAATTATTTGAATAATAATAATTCTTTCTTGTTTCTTGAGATTTCTATAGTGTCTATTTCTACAAGTCCTTCATATATTTTATTATTTTAAAATTATCTATAAAGTTTGTTCCATAATCCAAAATATTACACATGTTGAAAGAGTGCTAATGTATAATTCTTGCAAAATCCTATGAGGCATACTTTATTTGATTTCATTATGCTGTACATTACATAAATTCACAAGATCTTTCCTGAACACAGAAATCTCTTAAGATAAACTTACTACACATTAAAGGAAACTACTGAACACAAAGAATTATTTCTGCAGATATTTGCTTCTAAGAAATGATAACATATGTCTGTGTCTGAATCTACAAATAGATAGATGGATACACACACATATGTTCATTCACACACACACACATAGCCTCATACAGTCGTATATCTTATACATATTTATATAAACAAATTTACATACTGCATCTTTTGTAAATCTTAAAACCAGCAATTCATATTCTGTGTCTCATTTCCAGATATTAATTCCCTTAAAATTACTTAATATTTTCCCAAAAGCGAATGACATTGAAAATAATCAGCCACACTTATATAAAAAGTTTGCAAAGTATAAAATAGGCAAAATGTCACTGATTGGTTGGAAGTGCCCTTTCACCTTATTGTGTCTGACCTGCCACTTAATTAATCTGTTCTTGTCTGATAGCGGACAGTGTTAAAGACAGGCAGCACAGTGAGCAAAGTCGACAGCACTTTGAAAGTTGAAAATATATTCAGCTTTTTTTATATAAAATAAGTTTTCCTTAACTGTACTCAAAAGATTTCATCATTACTATTTCAATTTGCATCTTATCTGATTTCTTCTTATTGCAAATATTTACATATAAGATTCCCTGCATCTACTTCTCCATTTCTAGCTTTATCTGTTCTAATTACCCAGGCTAGTACTGCAAAGTTTGCATCTGGTTTCCATACCTGCTTGCTGTGTTTTGAAATCATTTTTCAGAGACATGCGGTGGGCATTCAGGTAGTCCAGATAAGGGTTTATAGTGACAAAATATTGACTGGATTTGGTATTCACTTATGAAGGATGACGTTAGTGCCACAAAAATCCCTGTGATGTACAGGGAATAGTTAATTAATTAAAGGACCTGCTAATTGCTACTTGAGGTACTGTGCAGAGATGATGAAGAGTGCTTGGTACAAGGTTAGGTTCTCAGTTTTGAGTGAACATTTTCATTTAAAAGATTTCTTTAAAGTACATCCTAATTTTTTTAATGTTTTTTCAGGTTACTGTATCTAGTTCAGACTCAAGTGTTCAATTGAGCTTCAATTAATTATAATATATAGTCAGGGTTCTTTAGCTGGGATAGATTGATGGAGAAGCTTTGTTTCATTTGGTGCAGGTGGCACTGTTTAATAAGCACAGGAGAGAGTGAATAATGTAGTGTTTGCAAAGAGAAATAAATGCAAAATAGAGAGGTGCAATTAGATCAGCTCAGAGAAATAAAGGATAAATATTAAATGGTCAGGTATCTTGCAAATATCAAATAAAATAGTAATAAGTATCTCATTGAAAACTGCCATTTTAATTTATGAATATCTAAAAGCACTGCTTTAAAATAAATCTAGTGAGCAAGTCCTCTGCATTCATTAGGCAGGCACATTTCAATATCTGGAAATAGCAGACTTCTAATTTTCAAACTCTCCGTGTTATTTTTCTTATACTGAAGTATAAATAGGAATCTAAATTTAAAATATAAACACAAGGACTTCAAAAGTTAATTTCTAAATTGTATTATACAATACCTTAAC